AAAAATATGTTTTTTTAATAAGATTTTGAACCTGAAAATGAGCACAATACCACCTCTTTAAGACCAGCTGCATAATTTAAATGCTGTCCTTAAGTCATCGGAAAATAATAAAAGCATTCTGCATCTAAAATACTTCAGGTACATTTTCTTAATAATATTTCTGAATTCTTACTTGAGCAGTAAGCAGCTATCAGACCTTCAACAAAGACAAATATTCACACACAGTTCACAAGTGACTGGACAGCCACAACATGCAAATTTCAGGGGAATTTCAAGTTAGGGTGCTCAGTTCCAGCTTCAGTTTACAGCCAAACTCATTAATGTGCTTTTCTGACACAGAGTTTACCTTCATCAGAAAAATGCAGCTTCTGCGATTTAGATATTGAGATTTTTATCATTTTTGATTCATTTACAACCTTAATCATTACATTTAAGTGATAACGTCAGAACACCATCAACTACAAGTGGTGGACAGTAACTAAGTACATTTACTCAAGTAGGCCTACACAAGCACTTGAGTATTTTCTTTATCTTTTAATCTCACTTTCTACTTTATTACATTTTAGAGGGAAATATTATCCTTTCTTCTCCACTGCAATTATTAAAATCTTTGCAAAAAATCATATGAAGAGATTATAAAATATGATGCATTGTTAGAGATTAAACCCCCAACAGTTTATACAATTACAATTAGTTAGTTCCTCGTTAGTCTGTTGATAGAAAATGTAGTTATTGGCAGCCATAAACATTTCATGATTCCAGCTTCTCAAATGTGAAGATTTGCTGCTTCTCCTTTAAACTTTTTAATATTTTTAAATAATTTTGAGGTTTGGGACTATTGGTTGGACAATACAAGCATTGTGATGGCATCACTTTAAAAAATAATCAGCAGCAGATTAATCAATATTTAAAAATAACCTACAACTACAACAGTAAAATCTTGTAATAATTATCTAATGATATAATATAGCTTTACTTCCCATTTGGTTCACAGAATCTGATGGGTCACAGATTTTGGTTTCACACTGCCATTACTGCCTACTTTTTAATGATTTAATGTATTTAATATTGTATCTTTTCTGTCTTCTTCCACCACTGTTAAACAGCACATCTTATAAACCAAAATGAAGAGGAAAGGCAGAAGCAGTTATCAGAGTTTCAGCACAGACCAACATTCACATATCATACACAATTCACAAGGAACTAAAAGGTCAAGTTAATTATAGGTGGTGTCCAGTTCCTCTTGACTGTGAGTGCGTGTTCATCTTCAGTTAACAGCCAAACAAGGCTCATTACATTTAAATAACAACCTCACAACTAAGGTTATTATAGTATTTTAAATTTTGTTTTGACTTTGTTTTAAATTTTAGTTTAGTTTTAATTCGTTTTAAATGTGGGTTTGCTGGTTTAGTTTAGTTTTGATTAAAAAAAAAAAACTGTTTTAGTTTAGTGTTTATTATTTTCAGTGTTAGTCTTTTTTTGTATTATGGGACTCTGGGCAAGGGGCATGGACTAACAAGCTGGCACAGCTAAGAAATGGGAAGATTTCATATCTACCCAAAATACTAGTCTTATGCATTTCAGTTTATGAAATAAACTGACAAAGACGAAAACTAAAGATGTTTACTTTATGTAATTTCAGTATATTGTAGTTAGTTTAGCAAACAGACAATACAGTTTCAGTTATTTTTATTTCAGTCAACGAGTCAAGTGTTTTTTCACACTTAGTTTTCATTAATGATAATTAACTTGCTCAGAACATCATAATGTAACACTGCTTTTAAATGAGAAGACAAATTCACACACACACACAAGTCAACAATACATCAAAGTTGCAAGGGAGTCAGATGATGTAGTATAAAGAGAAAGTCCGCATAAGGAGGTGGATCAAACCAGGACTTTCACACAGGAGACCGGCGTTCAAGTCCCATGTGAAATCAAGCCAATGTTGACTGATTTAGAGTTTTAAATTAATAGCGTTTCTGACTAATGTTGTGAGTTAAGTAATTTACTTACTTTACGTAGCAATGATCCAGAGCGGTACACTTGGAGGACTTTCTATCGGTCATATGTTGTTTATGAAAAAGGTCATCTGTGTAGTTTTCGGAGGCACTCATTACCAGACCTATTTTGTTGTTTACATATAAAAACACATATCTAATTTTATGACAGTAACTGTGTTAAAAGAGAGGATCCACTCAGCTCACATCTCTGCTACTGTTTTTTCCAACTAACCTGAAGGCCCCACCTAGTCCCCCTTAGTGGTCATTCAACTGCCTGACTGCAAATAACGCATAACATTCACATTACAAAAGACAGTTTGGTCAAAAGCTGTGAAGTCAAGCTGCAATAAACTACAAGTTAAAATCAGCACATTCTGAATCCCAACTTTTCACATGTGGACGCATGGTCAAGAATCCTTGGAGTTGCTTACTAATGACCTGGGTACTCCTTTAGCGTCATTTTGTCACTTCATTTTGAAGTTAGCAACAATAAGTATGTAACGTCCAGTTAGACTTTCCAAATAAAAGTACTTGTTAACGTTGTGAGACATCGCAAGTTGGTTAGGTTTAGGCACCATGACTACTTGGTTAGGTTTATAAAAAGATCATGGGTTAAAATAAATAAGTTACGTACATAAGTTAAGTTACGCAGCTTAAGTAACGTTTCTTGCATAACTTATGCAACCTTACTACATAACCTATGTAAGTAAAATAAAAACATTCAATGGTGACATGTTGTTTCACCTATGAAAACGGGTTGGTTAAACAGATAAATGGCCAGATATATAGAGTGATGTTAAGGTGGCCCCACAGACAAACCAGAAAAATGCCGACCAACTCCAACTGTTGGATCAGTGTGCGTCTTCAGTCTGTGTTTGTCAGATGGAGTTTTTCGAGTTTAACATGTCTAGTCGAGTTTGGTGGAGTCGTGGAAAGTCTGACCAATGTGTGTGTTTTACAACAAACCGAAACATTTTAAGAGTGTGTTCCCTTAAAAAGCCTAAACTCGAGTGCGGAACATCAGGCAGAACAGCCTGACTCCAGGTATCTGGGATGTTTCAAAGGAAATCGAGGACCATAATTTCCACCACATTTGGTCGTAGGTTGAATGGTGACAGTAATACACGCCACCTGTTAGTCAGTATGCCAGAGACATTTTCAACCACCCTACACGCTCTTGAGGAATCTGTCATGTCTGGCTGACATCGGACGAAAAGGCAATTTGGAGTCACCCATTAACCTAATTAACTGCATGTCTTTGGACGGTTTATTGCATCCAATGTCTACATATTTAAAATTATAGTTGCTGTCAACCAGGGCCATATGTACTATGGAATTAATTGTTTGTAATTGTAATAAACTAAGACACTTTTTGGTCTAATTGCTACATGTTTCCCCTGCAAAGCACCCAGATATTGGTGGAACTGCCACTTCTTCAGCAACCTATCAGCAACCTCCTGCCATTCAGATGTTGTGTATGGGCAATAAATGAAAAAATGAAAATTTAGTAATGATTCAGATGCTGAACAAGACCACAATAAAGAAAATGTGGCTGATAGGGGAGAAGAGGAACCAGCCCCAAGTGGTATCACACCCCGCCTCACTAGGCGCAAGAGGAAGTCCCCAGACATCCAAGAAAGAGATATGCAACTGCTGGAAACTGTAAATAATTCTCTACGCAATCTCACTGAGAGTGCAATGTGAAACGTTCTGACAACATGACTCTGTACTGTCAGCAATTAGCGCATAAATTTAGAACCATTCAAGAGTCAAACCCACGTTATTTTCCATGAGTACAAGCTCAGATAGGTCAGCTCATCTATAATGTCCCTAGTCTTCACAGTATGACAACCCTTTTATATTTAATTGATGCATTCCTGTTGCAATAGTATCTGCTGACTATATCAATGTAGTCTATTATTAAACTGCTCAAAACAATAAATAAGGGAACACTCAAATCAGGTCTCAATGAATGAAATAGTTTAAAGTTCAATATCTTTACATTGTAAAATTTGTTGAGAACAAAATTATTTAATAATGGTCAGTGGCAACAAAAATTTGCCAACCAATGTGTTGGAGTGCTGAGTTCAAAATCACACCGAAAATCAAAGTAAACAAATTGAAATCGCAGGCTGATCCAACTTGCGTGACTTTCATCACAGCAACTCATAATGTGATTCAGCAGTGTATTTGGTCCCCACGTGCCTGTATGCACGCTCAACAATGTCTGGGCATGATCGTGGGGGATCTCTTCCCAGAACTGGATCAGGGCTGTGAGTGCCTGGAAAGTCTGTGGTGCTACTTGGCAGCGTTGGAGGCACGGATACAAAACATCCCAGAGGTTCTCAGTTGGAATCAGGTGTGTGGAACGTGAGGGCCAGTCAATGGCATCAATGCCTTCGTCATCCAGGAACTGCCTACACGCTTTGGCTACATGAGGTTGGGCATTGTCCTGCACCAGGAGGAACCCAGAGCCCACTGCACCAGCGTAAGGTCTGACAATGGCTCTGAGGATTTCATCCCAGTACCTAACAGCAGTCTGGGTTCGACCTTCCAAGGACCGTCACTGACCCACCACCAAACCAATCATGCTGGATGATGTTGCAGGCAGCATAACATTCACCATGGCGTCTCCAGACTCTTTCAGGTCTGTCACATGTTCTCAATATGAAGCTGCTCTCATCTGTGAAGAGAGCGGGGTGCAGCGGGGTGTTACAGCATTTAAATCAGGCAGCCATTAGAGCATTGCTTGATTTTAGGAGGTTAGTTAAACAACATGTCATGCTACACTTTGACATTTTGTGTTACAGCTTGGTTGGATGGCGATCAGAAATAGATTAAACAAACAATATGTAAAATAGCATCCGTTTTAGATTAGAACACTTACAGGAAATGGTGTGACAGAAGTCAGTGCCTTTTAAGGCTTGTCACAGAAGGCACAGAATATAAAGGGCAGAAGATAAGATTCATCTTCAGACTTACATCCAGCTGCTGCAAGAAAAACACAGATCAAAGTAAAAGTAACTTCTAGAGACCTTTCCACAAGAGGGAGGTAACTACACTGTTTTTTATTCTTTCCTGTTTCATCTTCACTTCATTGAAAATGTCTTGCCAGTCTGAGGAGGATCTTACCTGTCCTATTTGTCAGGACATCTTCAACGACCCTGTCATCCTGTTTTGTAGCCACAGCTTCTGTAAAGTCTGTCTGCAGAGATGGCAGAAAGGGAAACAAATACTTGAGTGTCCGTGCTGTAAGACAAGGTCACCGAGGTTTGATCCACCTCGTAACCTGGCATTAAAGAACCTGTGTGAGACCTTCTTACTGGAGAGAGATCAGAGAGGTCCAGCAGGGTCTGGTGCTCTCTGCAGTCTACACTCTGAGAAATTCAGACTTTTCTGTCTGGACCATCAGCAGCCCGTGTGTCTTGTCTGCAGAGATTCAAAAACACACAACAACCACAGATTCAGACCCATCGATGAAGCTGCACAGGATCACAGAGAGGAGCTCCAGAAATCCCTGAAACCCTTACAGGAGAAACTGAAGCTCTTTGAACAAGTTAAAGGAAACTGTGATCAAACAGCAGAACTCATTAAAGTCCAGGCTCAACACATAGAGAGTCGGATTAAGGAGCAGTTTGAGAAGCTTCACCAGTTTCTACAAGAGGAAGAGGAGGCCAGGATCGCTGCTGTGTGGGAGGAAGAGGAGCAGAAGAGTCAGATGATGAAGGAGCACATTGAGTCTCTGAGCAGAGAGATAGCAGCTCTTTCAGACACCATCAGAGCCACAGAGGAGGAGCTGAGAGCTGAAGACGTCTCATTCCTGCTCAGCTACAAGGCTGCAGTGGAAAGAGTCCAGCAGCGCCCCCTGCTGGAGGATCCAGAGCTGGTCTCAGGAGCTCTGATAGACGAGGCCAAACACCTGGGCAACCTGACCTTCAACATCTGGAACAAGATAAAGAAGAAAGTCTCCTACACTCATGTGATTCTGGATCCAAACTCTGCTCATCCACATCTCATCCTGACTGAAGATCTGACCAGGGTGAGGTTTGGAGAGAAACAGAAGCTTCCTGAAAACCCAGAGAGGTTTGACTATCATAACATTGTCCTGGGCTGTGAGGGCTTTGACTCAGGGACTCACAGCTGGGACGTTGAGGTTGGCGACAGTACAATCTGGTCTCTGGGTGTCGCAGCAGAGTCTGTTAAGAGGAAAGGGAAAATAGAGTCTGGTTTATGGAGAATAGGATTCTCTAAAGGTAAATATAAAGCCTTCTCCCCATCTGCAGAACCAATCGTTCTTTCAGTGCAGCAGAAGCTTCAGCAGATCAGAGTTCACCTGGACTGTAAAAGAGGAGAGATGTCATTCTTTGATCTTAATACTAACACACGTATCCACATCTTCACTCACACCTTCACTGAGAAGCTGTTTCCATACATTAGCAATAGAGATGAATTCCCAATTCAGATTTTACCAGAGGATGATATAAATGGCGGTGAAAGCAAAATCATTTAAGTTCTGCTGTGTCCCTCATTTTATCTTAATTTGTGTTGCTGCTGGTGATTGAATAAAGTTGTCTCAGCTGTTACTGTCATTGTTTGTCAGCAAATTACTGATGATGTACATTAGGAGACTGATGTATTTTGACGAACTGTAAAAACATCTCCAACATACAGATGATACTGTCTGTACAAGAGTTTTCAAACTTTAATTCTTCTATGTCAGAGACACTTTATTTAAAAAGTTCAGATCTAATTGTGGGTTCATGCTTTCTTTAATGTTGGTGATTCAGGAACTGAAACTTTCTTTGATGTTCCTCTCATGGGAAGTCGCAGCGAAATGTTAAAACAACAGCAAACTGTAAATTACTGAAGTTCTGAATAGTTTTAGTTAGTGGCTAGAGTCCCCTGTCAGGAGGCATTTATCACAGAAGAAATGTTGACAAGTCACAGTAGGGAAAGCACAGGTTTGAATAACTACGCGCTAGCTTACTGGGACACTTAGATAGAGAAAGAGATAGATGTTAACGTTATTAGTTACACCATTTTTTCTTACTATGATAAGTCAGCATCCCTGCTGTGAAGAAGGCCTTCTGGCAGCCAATCACAGCACACAGTTTTATGCCCAGCAAACAACTGTGAGTGAACAGTGTGCCCACAAGTTGTTTGTGAAAGCCTTAAAGTCACAAAGAAAGGAAAGTTAGAACATCGTAATATGATAAATTTCTCAATGCAATGGTATTTCTGCTTTAGTTTAAACTATGATTTAAACTAAATCCATCAGGTTTGAGTGGAAAGTGAGCTTTACTTTGTGATATGGAGCCATAAAGAGATAGACGTACAGGCCTCCACACACACCTAACTCTGGTACAGTACATACGTATATTGTGCATTGTCCCTGTTAAATAAATAAAAAAAATAAAAAAAATAAATGAATAAATTAGATTTTGGAAGCATAAACAAACTTTTTTCCAGCTGAAACACAAACACACTCCTCCTACTAAGATGTTGCTGTGCTACTTTATGATGGGTGTTGTTAACTCGTTACACCGAATCACATTTCATTGAATACATTTATGTAACCGTCCTAGAGTATTAGTTTAAGCAGAGATGTGCAGATGTTTAAGATTGTGAAGTATGTGCATGCAAGTTGATTTAAACACAACAGTAAATCTTTTTGGTTAAGTGTTTTCTAAGTATCTGTAGTGAAATACTATGTTACGGTTTAAGATCATTATGTTTCAATAATTTTCTTATCAACATAATAAAAAAAATTGCTTGTCTTTTATAGCTTTTTAATAATGTTCTTTATTGTTGAGAAAGTGTGAGTGATCTTATTTGTATTCTGTATTGTACCCAGACATGAAGATTTTTTGCTGGAGTCTGTTCCTGTGAATTCCTCACAGCTATAACAATCTGACATACCAGCTATCCTTTACCCTATCCTAGATGAACATTTAAAGGATGATGTCTGTTTGCCTTTTAATCTGTAACCTGCTTTGTGATTATTTTCCAACTTGTTTAGCAAGCTTGATTTTAATATAAGCTTGATTTTAATATAAAATATATGAAATCATTTTATGTTCAAGGTATTTCAAGTTGTACAAGATGTTTTATTAAACAGAAGATTAGAATTATGAGATTTTGCTTCAGTTGTGTAAATAAAATCCTTAATATTTGCTCTTAACATGGAAACAAAAAGTGTGTGTGTGTTTCATCTGTGCCATTATCTACGACATCATCTGGTCATCATCTTTTCCTCTGGTTCTGCATCATTGTGATGCACACAGCACAGCTGAGTGGTTTTATAGGAACACACATACACAAAAAACACACATGCGCACACACATGCACGCAGGTAGGAAGTGTCATCGTTCTATTTCTGGTCGCTTATCTCAGAATGATAAATCACTTTCAGGGACAGAGAGAGACATTTGCGTGTGTGTGTGTGTGTGTGTGTGCTTGTTTTACTCTATTTATGGGGTCCGACAGCTTTGTGGGGACAAAAATGCTGGACCACACAAGTTTAAAGGGCTTTTTGAAGGTCAAGACATTGTTTTAGCGTTCAGGTTAGAATTAGTTAAGGTTAATTCTATGTATATAGTGGGGATGGTTAGGGTTAGGGTTAGGGAATGCATGTCAATGATGGGTCCCCACAAAGAGCGTGCCAAAAGGCTGCGTGTGTGTGATCACACAGATGAGTTTTTCTGATCTGCCTCACAGTCAGTACGCTGCATATTAGCAGCAGTTTGTGATGCTTCAGTGCGTTATTCATTACAGACTAGAGACCTGCAAATATCCTTATGACTGGACAGGAAGGAACAGGGGTTGGTTAATGCATAATAATTATGGTACAGCTGTGCAACCACTGGTCAAATTATCTCTACCCTGCCCGTACTTGGAGCTCGGAGCACCGGGGGAGTGTGTTACACCTTTACTCAAGCACTGGAAGTTTTCAAGCTGGGGGGTGGGGGTGGGGATGATTGCAGGGTGCGGCGCCTGATTGGGAACCATAGCCGGGCGAGCCAGCAACAAAACCTCGCTCAGCAGCCTCCCAGTGAACACTGCATGAACAGGACCGAACACAGCCTCAAAGACCAAGAGGGAATCCAGTACTGAGATGACTTACACAGAACTTTCTGATGGATAGCTTTACTTTTTCCTAAACCGCTAACTCTTGCCTATCTGCTTGTATCTGTGGCTACTTAGCTCGATTGGTTAGCCGTGCTGCTAGTGGTTCTATTAGTTTACTCAGCCCCGGGGTGACAAGAGTCAAACTCGGCAAGAACACCACCTTGGTACTGTATTCCCAGTGGTTAAATTGGACTTTGTCGGTCTCGGATGGTGTGCTCGGTCCCGGTCCAGCTGCCGTGTTCAGTCACTGAGAGCTGGAACCAGTCCACGCAGAGTCTGCATGACGGAGAGGGGGCGTAAACACACATCTGACGCTTCTGGTGACTGTAAACGCCAATCAATGTCTGCAACACTTCTCTTTCCAGCTTTGTGTTTTTACAAAAACACATACATATACCATAGATTGGACATTAAAAACTTATACAGAGGCAAATAGCACTGCATTTTCTGTTTCATAGAAACTCTGTGCTTAAAGGAATCCCTAGGTGTAATCTCCGATTTTACAAAATGTACCTGTAATCTGATTACGTTTATTTGATGATGAAATTAGTTATTATTCTGCCTTTTCTCTGGACATGTCAGAGAACACAGATAGACTATGTGGGAGAGATTCTGAATGTGCAGAGAGTTTTGACTATGAGCAGAAAATCTACTGAAACACAGGAGCTATTAAAGTCCAGGAGTTTATAACTGAATTAAAATTACAATTAAAACAATTTTTCATTATTGTGAAAAGGTCCCACAGTCACATTTAAAGAGGTTACTTCCCCAAACAAAGACAAAAAGAGGAGGGGAGACTAAATCATGAATCAGCAGGGATGAAATTAAATAAGTTGATCTACAGGAGAAATACATCTGATAGCAGCACAGAATGACTGCACTGAGTTATATTCTGTTATAGTTCTGTTATAGAGTTTGAATCATCACCTGCCACCTGAATTTTGTGTTTCTCTTTAAATAAATAAAATAAAAAATCACCATAAACTGGTGCAGAAAAAAATCATCAGAATGCAGGAAATAAAGTGTTAATTTTCATCCAATACAGCATTAAAGATTTCTTAAAAATAGTGTTAAAATCTTGTCTCGATCTTGTGAACCCAATCTCAAATCTCATCTCATCTCATCTCGTCGGTTAATAGTCTTGTCACACCCCTAAAAATATCTATTTTAACCAATAATAATATGTTACTTTAACCTATAAATGACAATACCTTGATTATAAACTTATAGTATATAAACTTTAAAACATAGAATGAAATTTTACAATGTAATATATTATGGAACATCTTTAAATTATATAATGATATTTAAAACTGTCCAATACATTCAATTTGTTGATGAAGACCGTGAGATGTAGATGAAAGTCAGAAGCTCTGAAAAAGCTAGTAAGTGGAATTTGAATTAAGATTATTTGCACACATTTTTGCATAATACCATTACCTTTGCCAGACAATGTTTAATCTTTCAAGCTAGACTGTATAAGTATGAAGTCCATGCTGAAAGGCTTGGTTCACCCACATTTCATAAACACAAAACTCGTATTTACTTATCTTTAGTGGAAACTTGCCATGTAGGTGATTTTGGTTTAATTTATCCAGGTTTTGTGATGATTCTGTTGGTGCTATTTCTTTGCAGTTCCAATGAAAACTGGCGAGAGCAACATCTGTGGAGTTTTTTTTTGTTATATAATAATTTTGCATGGCTGTAACTAAGGATACGTGAGAAACCAGGTTTTTGAAGGAATTCTCTTTGGACAGTTTTGGAAATTTGGGCGTTTACCGTCTCACCTGCAGTTTGAAAAATAGACTGCTACAGTATCTATGTCATCTCATACCTGCAAATGTCAGGATTGTTCATATGCTATGCTGTAGTGTGGTCCTTATAAGACCTCTGCTAAAAAAGTTACCTCCGAGGCTGCGAGGTTGTCTGATATATATTTTGCAGACATTATAAAATCATTACCACGTGATATTTGATTTGATTTCAGTTGGACTTGTGAAGCTTTATATACACTCACCTAAAGGATTATTAGGAACACCTGTTCAATTTCTTATTAATGCAATTATCTAATCAACCAATCACATGGCAGTTGCTTCAATGCATTTAGGGGTGTGGTCCTGGTCAAGACAATCTCCTGAACTCCAAACTGAATGTCAGAATGGGAAAGAAAGGTGATTTAAGCAATTTTGAGCGTGGCATGGTTGTTGGTGCCAGACGGGCCGGTCTGAGTATTTCACAATCTGCTCAGTTACTGGGATTTTCACGCACAACCATTTCTAGGGTTTACAAAGAATGGTGTGAAAAGGGAAAAACATCCAGTATGCGGCAGTCCTGTGGGCGAAAATGCCTTGTTGATGCTAGAGGTCAGAGGAGAATGGGCCGACTGATTCAAGCTGATAGAAGAGCAACTTTGACTGAAATAACCACTCATTACAACCGAGGTATGCAGCAAAGCATTTGTGAAGCCACAACACGCACAACCTTGAGGCGGATGGGCTACAACAGCAGAAGACCCCACCGGGTACCACTCATCTCCACTACAAATAGGAAAAAGAGACTACAATTTGCAAGAGCTCACCAAAATTGGACAGTTGAAGACTGGAAAAATGTTGCCTGGTCTGATGAGTCTCGATTTCTGTTGAGACATTCAGATGGTAGAGTCTGAATTTGGCGTAAACAGAATGAGAACATGGATCCATCATGCCTTGTTACCACTGTGCAGGCTGGTGGTGGTGGTGTAATGGTGTGGGGGATGTTTTCTTGGCACACTTTAGGCCCCTTAGTGCCAATTGGGCATGGTTTAAATGCCACGGCCTACCTGAGCATTGTTTCTGACCATGTCCATCCCTTTATGGCCACCATGTACCCATCCTCTGATGGCTACTTCCAGCAGGATAATGCACCATGTCACAAAGCTCGAATCATTTCAAATTGGTTTCTTGAACATGACAATGAGTTCACTGTACTAAAATGCCCCCCACAGTCACCAGATCTCAACCCAATAGAGCATCTTTGGGATGTGGTGGAACGGGAGCTTCGTGCCCTGGATGTGCATCCCACAAATCTCCATCAACTGCAAGATGCTATCCTATTAATATGGGCCAACATTTCTAAAGAATGCTTTCAGCACCTTGTTGAATCAATGCCACGTAGAATTAAGGCAGTTCTGAAAGCGAAAGGCATACTAATACACAGTATTAGTATGGTGTTCCTAATAATCCTTTAGTTGAGTGTACATCATGTACTGATATGTTTGTATTTGTGCTGTTGATCAGTACGACAGGTGTGCCGTTTTTGCAGACAGCCAGTCAACAAGGGCTCAGTATTCTCCATGGGCCGAGACTTCCTGAACAATTTCCCATAAGACTTTTAGAGATTTTACTGCTAACATTTAAATCTAGACACAATATTATGTAGACATTTTGATATTTCCATTCCTACAATGTGTGACTCTTACTCTATAAAACACTCATAGGCAAACAAACTTTGAGCCTGAGAGCCATTGTGACTCAAACTCAGGTGAGTCACCTTAAAGGTTAACTGATATTATGAAGATCAAATACTGTGTGCTCAACCCGCCAGTTATCTAAAACTAAACAGCGGCAGGATAAAGAAAGCAGAAGGCCACAGCCTCCAAGACTCCCAGAGATAACGGCGGGATGACAAAGGAAGAAGAGAGTCTGTCTGCTTGTTCACAGTATTTCCAAACCTTTATAAAATTTTAAATACATACATCAAGTTCATCCTTTCCATAAATGTTCAAAACATTCAAAATTTCCAGCTGATATCAGTCACAGCCATTGACGTTTTATGAATGAGTATTTTATGGTTAAACTGTTGTGAAGGTAGGTGAATGTGCTGATAACAGGTGGGAGTCAGCAAGCTGAACAAATGTGACAGTTTATTATCAGGTGACTGACTTCACTTTCTTGATCAGTCCGTTTTTATATATATACAGTATATCATTTATTTATTTCAGTATATAGTCTAACACACACGCTCCCTCTAAACTGTTTGGAATCCAAAATCATCCATCATTTCACACACAAAAACAAACAGTAAATGTGAATGAGTTAATAAACATTTGTGTTGCAGAACTTTGTTTTGGGAACCGCTGGACTGAACTACCAAAGTAGTTAAAACTAGCTTCACCTCCACTACTTATACTACAACTTATCAATCTAATAATGTAATAACAGTCTATATCGGTCAGACATTTCTCTGCAGAACGAGGTTTGACTGCATAATCTGTGCCTGAAATGCAGTACAGTATTTTTACATAGTGCTACTCGTACTTTTACTTCAGTAAAGGATAAGTAATTTTTCCACCACTGCCAGGATGTCCCTGACACATCCAATCAATGACTGTTGACCTTGAAACATTAGCATTATATTACACAGGAACACACAGTCCCTCAGATTTCCTTTTCGATGAGCTCATTCCCTGATTATATTACATGTACACACACACACACACACACACACACACACACACACACACAACACACTTCCCGCCAAACCTGTCCTCTGGGTCAGTCGTTCCCAGGGAGAGCGTACCAATCCTTTGAGTTGGCCCTCGCTATGGAAACCATTTGTCTTGCATTGCCGCGGCGCCACGTGGCGGACAGTGCTCTGCAAACACAAAACACATTCTGATACACACCGCTGGCCCCAGTCCTGTTATACACACACACACACACACACACACACACACACACACACATTTTGTATTTTTATTTCTGAATGCATTTTGTGTCTTTGTACTTGTATACCCATGTTATCCTCTGTGTGTCTTTCATTGTGTCACTTCAGTCAATTGTGTTGTTTATTATAGAAACACCATCACATTACTGTACAAGAGGCTCTGCATGATGTGCAGTCACGAGGAAATTAGGACTCCCTACTCATGCCCTCTGTAGCACAATCATAAAGTCAGGCAGTAATAAGTAGTACTAATTACCAAATATCTCTACATGCATACACTTCATACAGACACACACTATACACAAAATTAATTTTTTAAAGCCATCAGTTAAACAACTGGAAAGAAAAGTATAGTAAGAGACTCTCAGAATACCTTTCTACCACTAGATGTCCTCGGTAGGTCAGTTTGGAGTGAACTCCAAACAAACCGTCTCCTCTCTCTCTCTTTGTATTTATGCTCTCTGTCTCTCATCATAGAGTCCGCTCTGATCCGTTGACCGAAAACAAAACCTCTTATCCGTCCAGTAAATACACGTCATTCTGTTCCAAAGTTTTTTCCAAGTTTCACCTCACTCTGTTTGCTCTCACTGATCTGACGCTATTCCTTTTCTTTTTTCTCTCTCTTTTGGGGCTACAGAGTGAATAAAAGTCTGCTCATCCAGCCCAGCTGCTGATTTGAGCAGAATGGACTGGATGACCAGCTGCCTTTTTCAATATAAAATCTGGTTAAATAAAACCAACAGACTAGAGGAATTCAATGCTGCAGCAACTACTAAGCCAGGCCCCATTTCAAAATGTCCCTGATAACTCAACCAGTAAGATAAAACTTCTGATTAACGAAGCTCCCAATACAGCTCATCAGCAATAAAAGGATCGCTGCTATTATTAATCTGCATTTTAATTTGTGAGTGAAAAGCATCTCCTATCAAATAATAATAATATATAAGAATGAGCAAACCTGTCCCTCTCAAAACATTTTGCCTTTGGAGGCATGTGATATTTGACACAAACAACATCTGATATCTGGTTTAACAAGGTCAAGATATTTATAAATGTGCCTTGTTACCAAGTAAAGGTAACACAGAAGACATCTTAACTGACAACAAAACTGACCTACTTCTAAAATAAACTGCCCATATCGTGATGCTGCGGCTTCACAAGCCATAGGTCAAATTTCACAGACTAATATTTTAAAATTAGAAATCTCAGTTCCACTTTTGTTGGAGTTGTGGTCAAATAAGCACTTTTTATTGCTATTTGCTATAAGCATGATTTGAAATGTAACCAGATAACTTTGGGTGTGCAGTTATTTTAGTGACACCGAATCCCGAAAACAAACAAAA